CCAGCTGACTCTCAACATTAATGACACAGCATTCCTTTCTTTCAGCTTGTTGAGACAGGGCTTCACTATGTAGCACAGGTTAGCCTTGAGTCCACAATCTATCTTGCCCAGTTTATGACACAATTTAGAATATATAAATTATAAAAGGCTTAAGTATCCAACACCCATTCAAAGACTGTTTTCAAAACAACAGCTCCCATACACAGCCCATAGTTACAGAATCATTGTTCATGGGTGGGTCTTTTATGATTTCCTCTACAAATGAAGAGAGACTTGAAGTATGAATTTCAAAAAAATTAAACTTTTTATTATTAGACAGGTTTCATATAGTTCAAGCTGATTGAACTTACTATGTAGCAGAGGGTGACCTTGAACTTCTGATCCTCCTCTACCTTCTGAGTGCTGGAATTACAGGTGGGGGCCCCCCCCCCCCGCCCAGAGCTCAGCATTTCTCTGTGCAACCCTCTGTCCTGGAACTAGCTCTGTAGCCCAGGCTGGCCTCCAACTCACAGAGATCCACCTGCCTCTGCCTCCTGAGTGCTGGGATTAAAGGCATGCGCCACCACTACCCAGCTGGGATTACAGCTTTACATCTATAGGCCACCATTCGTCATATAATAGTCGGTCCAAGTAGGACAGCACTCTAGCACTGAGCTGTGTCCCTCTTCTCTCCTTTCCCCTGTTTGAGGCAGGATCTCATTCAGTACCTCATGCTGGTTTAGAATTCATGAGGTAGCCCAAGGTGATCTTGAACTCATGGCATGAACCACCACGCTCAGTTTATTTTCATCCAGTGGAACCCATGTGTCTGTGGCAAGAGATGAGACTGTACTACAGGAGACAGAGGTTTTCAGAACGTAGTGCTAAACCTGAAAGCTGTGGGCTGACCCATGCGGCATCTCCAGATGCGCAGCAACCAGGTAGTTGTGTTGCAATCTCAAATGCAGAGCAAGTGTAATGCATTTAAAAAAAAAATCAGCCTGAAGCTCAGCAAACCTCTAGAGCCAAATCTCCCATGCAGGAACTATAACAGAAACAGGAACTGGAGTACATGACAGCACAAGGGAGCAGACAAGCCCAGAATGCAGAGCATTTCACTGAGAACCGGTTTAGAGAACCAGCCAGTGACTGGGAACTGAAGGGAAGCCTGTCATCAATTAAAAGAGACTTCAATACAGCACCCGGCTGCATGTGGACACCATGTCTGAGTCTGGATCGAAACACAATTAAGTAATATTTTTGAGATAGGAGAATTTGGTTATGGTCTAATATATGAGGTGTAGAAAATCATCAACAATTTTATTCATTTTGAGTAGCAGTGGTATCATGGTTACACAGAAGGATTTCCTTTGGAAGTAGATGCACATTGAAGTCTGACAGGGTGGCACAACATGACTATGATTTTTAAAAATTACTTTAGCAAATAAAAGACAAAAGATACAAGGAATAAAAAGTCTATGTGATATACCATTTTGTCTAAATAAGCAAAGGGTGAGGCAGCTCAGTGGTTCAAAGTGACTTCTGTGCGACCCTGACAATCCAAGTTCAATCTCTGGAACCCAGAGAGGAAGGGGATAACCAACTCCTGGGAGTGTCCTCTGACCCCTGGACATTGACATGCTGCTGATGTCCCCTCCCCCACCTCTGTCTGACACTCCCTCCCCTTCTCTCTTTCTCTCTGTGTGTCCCCTGTATCTCTCTCTTATTTCTCTCCCCCACACACTTAATAACAAAATTTTAAAATGAAAAGGGGTAAGAATATGTTTTCCCTTTTTTGTATGTTTCCAGAGACTTCAGGAAAAAAAGGGTCACTAGGCATGGGGGGTGGGGTGAGAACAAAGCTCCTAATGTAAAATTTCCATATTCCTGTAGCTTTTATCCACTTGAACAGGTAGCTGGCTTGGATGCTGTTTGTTCTTCTGCAGTTTACATATTTGAAAGATGATGAGGCCTTCAGCAGATGAAGCCAACAAGAAACTGAGCAGGTCCCAGGGAGGACACCATCCTTAGGGGACTGGAAGTGGTTATTACAGGAACTTGACTTAGCTCTTGAGAGGTGGCTGTTACACAGAGAGCAAGCCAGCCTCCTCGCCTGGCTTGCGGCTTCATCACGTGATCTCTCCCTCTTGCACACCTTCCCACCATCGAGATGCCAGTCTCCATGAGGTCCTCCCAGAGCTGAGCCAATACTGACGCCATGACTCTGAGCCTCCAGACTGTCCCAGATAAAACTATTTTCTTTACGTTACTTCGTCTGAGTGTCGTTACAGTAAAATGGATTAGGGCCTGGGAGATAGCTCAGCGGGTAAATTACCACCGAGCCAAAAGACCTGAGTGGATCGCTGGGACTCACACGGTGGAAGGAGAGAACTGATTCCAACAAGCCGTCCCCTGATCTTCATGTCGGCACTCTGTACCAAAAAATAAGTGAGTAAAATTGAAAACAACACCCAAAAGAAAATGAAGTAAATATTACTGAAATTTTTTATTTAAATAAATAACTCAATAAAGTATTGACTGTCTGCTTTAGGCAAAAGCCCTCAAGGACTGTAATTTTGATGAGTTGTTTAACAGATTATTTCAGTTTCTGTTCTGTGAAAACTATAAAGTATCTCCACAGAGAGCTTTATTGTATTTCTGGTTTTCCCCGCCTCGTGTTGTTTATTGCTAAATGTAGTCATTTGTGATGCTGATTTTGTATTTTAACATAATAAAAAAACCATTAAGAAGTTAAAAAAAAATCAGAAATGAGTCCCTTACTCACAAACAGAAAAAGGATTAGGTGGACCTTTACAGACTCTTTCATGTCTCCACTTTAATAAACTAAAAAATACACACACACACACACACACACACACACACACACACACACAGCAGTGTTTTACAGAGCTACTCACAGAAATGGGCATGATGGGATGTATGTATAACGCTAGTACTTGGGCAGTAGAGACAAGGAGGATGAGAAGTTTGAGGCCAGCCTGGGCTACATAGAGAGTTCCAGGTCAGCCTAGATTATATCAGACCTCATGTCAAAGAAAATAAAGCCAAGCAAGACAAAGCAATGAAGTACAAGTTGGTCTCAGCTTTAGGGACTGTCAATGAATGGAGGACACAGAACTGCAGACTGGTGATCTGGGAGCCTTCCCCCAAGGCCTTGCTGAGTAACATGGCCCTCAGCCTCAGGTAATCCTCTCTCCATTATCCAGGAGTGCATTTTGTAAGTTGTTAGTAGCGGTTGATAGTAAAGACATTAAATTCATGTAACATAGTTTACAGTGCAAGTCTAGGGCTGTGTGTGTGTGTGTGTGTGTGTGTGTGTGTGTGTGTGTGTGTGTGTATGTGTGTGTGTAGGGAGGGGCTTGTTCTTACTCTAAATTGCTAAACACATGCTTTGGGACCAGTCATTCTCCTTGTCTATAACACGAGAGAGTAAGCAGCATCCCTTGAGCAGTCCTCATCCCATGCTGCTGTGGAACTTCATACACTGAACAAGTTAGAGATTTAGATTAAATGCATCTCAGGCACAAAGGTGAGTGACAGAGCCAGGAAGGGCTGATGCAGCAAAAACGCACAGGGCTTTCAGAAATCACCAAGTCTGTGAGCTGACTTCCCTCTGTGGGAAAGTTTTGGTTTTGAAAGCGTCTAGATAAATGTCACTCTTCAATGGCTGAGCATGCTGGTGTGTGACTTGGTACTTTGGTCATGAACAACATGGCTGGAATGTAACACATTCTGACAATTCACGTTCAAAGTCCCCCTTTCTCCAGGGGAACAGAGATAAGATGGAATATTGAGGTCTACTCAGCTCTATCCACATAGTGGGCAAGAAACATTGCTGAAAGAAGTATGTGTTTCCCTAATGGAAGATTTTGAAAGTTTGAAGGTCAAAGTCAGAATGATTGCCGAGCTTTGCATATATTACTGACACTTCTTTTTTTTTTTTTTTTTTTTTTTGGTTTTTCGAGACAGGGTTTCTCGGTGCAGTTTTGCGCCTTTCCTGGAACTCACTTGGTAGACCAGGCTGGCCTCGAACTCACAGAGATCCGCCTGCCTCTGCCTCCCGAGTGCTGGGACTAAAGGCATGCGCCACCACCGCCCGGCTTCTGACACAACTTCTTTGGTATCATTAACAGAGGGCATGCTATGTTGCCCAGGCTGACCCCATACTTAGTAATCTTCCTAACTCAGCCTCCTGAGTGCTGGAATTATAAGTATGCATCACTTATAATGGTGTCTTGATAATTTCCTTGCCTCATAATACCATTATAGACAAGGAAAGTTAGATATAATGAGCTTATAGATTATATTCTAAAGTATATCAGACTGAGGATGATAACTGAGCTCTTAAGTGGTATTGAAGTAATCTAAAAATGTAAAGATAAGGAATATAAATTCACAGCTTTATTTATTTATTGTTTGTTTGTTTAGCCAGGCAAGGTTTCTTTGTGTAGGCTACCTGGGGCTTGCTCTGTGACCAGGCTGGCCTTAAAGTCAGAGATCCTCCTGCCTCTGCCTCCCAGCAGCTGAGATCAAAGGTGTGCACCACCATGCCCGGCTTCATTGCTTTAGCTCCCAGTCCAGTGCATGGCTCAAAGCACATGCTTCAAGAACATTAGTCACAGGCTTGATTGATGGAGATTGAGCTGAGTGCACAAATACATGACTGACATGTTTATATTTTTGTTCCCGGGTAACCAGCTAGGTTTGTGCTTGGACCATCTCAGGCTATTTTATCTGAGCTATTAGAAGACTCTCTCCTCTTGTAATGACTAACACTAGTCTTTCTCTGAAATACTGCTTCCTCTTTGTTGATTTCATGTGATAATCGTCAGAGTGCCTGCAGGATGTGTCTAGTGTGACATGACACAGAACAGGAACATTCTCTGATGTGACTAGATTAGCAGTACTGACACGGGAATCACTGGTGGTCAGACACCCTGGGAAGTAGGCTGCCCCTCAGTGGGTGTGGTCAGCACTCATGATTCTGGGGTAGGCAGAAGTTAGAGGAAGTTGCATTTTAACTGGAGAGCTAAAGCTGAGCCTACACCGAGCTGGCCTTTGATTTTCCCTGCCAAGTACTAATGTTTTCACCTCTTACTTTCAACTGTGTCCTGCTGCTGCTGCTACTACTACTTACAAGTAAGTACTGGCTGGTACGTCTCAGTTGGAGACAGATTATGTCACAGAGGGCTAGACAGAGGTACAGATGGGAGTAGTGATGCTATTTGTAACAGCTTATGTTTGGAAGCAGCCTAAATGTCAACAGTGGGAGACTGGGTAAGTAAATATGACATATCCATGATACAAGCAGGGAGCCTAACTGAACAACCTGATATAGATGCTGGCAATCACAATGCTACAGAGAAAATCAAGGTGCACAGTTAATGTGTGCAAGCATTGCCAGGGAACAGCATTGTGTGCACATTTTTTAGTGTTTAGGCTCCAGGAATGGGGCCTGGGGGATGGGAAGAGTTGGTAGAGGGAATCCAGCTTCCATGTACCTTTCATGTGGTTTGAATAGATTATCATTTAGATGTTTGTGTTATTAGAAAGGAATTTATTTTAAACATCAATATAACATATGAGGAGTTTCAAATATGCAAGCTACTAGTTTTGTTTTGTCAGAGCTTTTATGAGAGAGAGAGAGAGAGAGAGAGAGAGAGAGAGAAACAGAGACAGAGACAGAGACAGAGACAGAGACAGAGGCAGAGAGAGAATATGTTACTTTTCCTTTGCCGATGAACAGACTGCTAGCACAGATGTATGGGGCATTTTCCTGGCCAACAATTCCCATTTTTCTGAGTATTGACTCCATTAGCCCAGGTTTTTTATCTTCAAAAAACTGTTCACAATTCTTTGAGGGCTCAAAAATGTGTGTGTGTGTGTGTGTGTGGTGGTGGTGGTGGGGAGTCAAGAGCCCATAACACATGGGAACTGAGAGATATGCAAGTTCCCATGTTCTACCTCAGACCAATGGAGGCAGACATTTTAGGGAAGAAGCACAGGTAGCCCAGGCTGGCCTCGAACTCACTGCAGGTCTGTCACAGACTCCTCAGTATAGGATTAAAGGTATAAGGCATCACTTTCTGGTCTGTCAGTTTGTTTTTTGAGAGAAGATTTCATCACTCAGGCTAACCTAGAACTTGCTCTGTAGTTCAGTCTGGTCTCTAATTCAGATCTTCCTGTCTCCACCTGCAAAGCTCCAGGATTAGAGGCATGTGCAATCATAGTAAGTGTTTGAACAGGACTCTCTTCTGCTGCTTCTGCTTCCTCTGAAGTCAGAGGATCATTGGCACAGTCAATCCTCTTACCAACAGTGCAGCCATAGTTTCCTCTTTTATTCTATGAGGCATTACCAACAGAAATGGACCCTCTCCCTCACATCTTGCTCTCCTTCCCTCTCTGTGTAGGGTCTTTGGAAGATAAATTTGAAGTCGAGGTCGGTAAGAATGCCTATCTGCCTTGCAACTACACTCTACCTAGTCCTGGGACACCTGTACCTGTGTGCTGGGGCAAGGAATCCTGTCCTTGGTCACGGTGTACCAATGAGGTGCTCAACACTGATGAAAGAAAGGTGACATATCAGAAATCCAGCAGATACCAGCTAAAGGGGAATTTCCTCAAAGGAGATGTGTCCCTGACCATAGAGAATGTGACTCTAGATGACCATGGGACCTATTGCTGCAGGGTACAATTCCCTGGTCCATGGAATGATAAAAAATTAGACCTGAAGTTAGTCATCACATCAGGTGAGTAGACCTTTCTATGTCCTCTTTGTCTGTAAGAATAACCTGTGGGTCATGATAGCATAATAAACATAAGGATTATTATCACCTCTGACTTCCCTAGTCCTGGGGTGGGATAGGAAGAACTGGGATGAAGAGACCTCACCTGTGAAGGCCAGTGATGTACCTTCCATGTGTTTTCATACTCAAGGATGCAGCCTAGAGAAGGGGAAGAAAGGCCTAGACCAGAGAGAGGTTCAAGACCCTGCCTGATTATTAGACCACATGGAAACTTTTTTATTATTATTTTTCATTTTAATTTTTTTGTATGATATATTTTGATCATATTCTTTCCCTTCCTCCAAATCTTACCAGATTCTCCCCACCTTCCTACCCGCACAACTTCATGTTCTTTCTATCTCTTAAACACACACACACAAAATACACACACACACACGCACACACACACACACACACACAGAAACCAAAAGTCAAAACAGATAAGTAAAACCAATAATACGAAAAATATCAAATAAAAAAAAGTGCATAAGGTCAAATGGAGTCTGTTTGTGTTAGCCAACTACTGGGCAAAGGGCCTGCTTTTGAGTGTGGCTGGTATACCCAGTAACACTCCACTGGGGAAAACTGGATTTTCCCTTTCCCAGCTGGCATCAATTGCAAACGGGTTCTTAGTTAAGGGTGGGACTCTGTGTCCACTTCCTCTCTCAGTGCTGGAATTCTGTGTGGTTTGAGTCTATGCATGTCCTGTGAGCACTGTCATTGTCTCTGTGAGCTCATATGTGCAGTGGTCCTGTGTGGTCTGGAAGACTGTTTCCTTGGAGCCGTCTACCACCTCTGACTCTCACAATCTTTCCACCTCCTTTTGGTGCCTGGGCCCCATCTACAAGCCAGAGACATTACCATATCTGGAGATGGATTCTGAATTTTTTTTTCACAAAAATCTGCTTCAGGTAAGCCAGGAATATGGACCACTGGGTTGTATGTATGTGCGTTAAGAAGGTATATATGTGCATGTTCTTGTGTTTTAATGTTTATACCGGATAGGGTTAAGTGTATAGCTCAGCAAAAAAGCCCAAGTTTGACTCTCCAGCACCACACAAATCAAAAGATTTTATAGCACAAACTTTGTGGTCATATGGAGCAGAGTTCAAATCAACTCTCCTTACTAATTGTATAATATTGAAACACTATTTCAAATGTGTGGGTTCTTCAGCTATAAAATATCATTAACTACCACATAGGCCACTGAAAGGATTCTACAAGGTGATGTTTATGCAGAGCTTTGGTGTGGCCTCTTGTGTGGCTGTTAGTTCCATCACTAATTAGGCTGTAGCAATGGCAGCCACATCCTGCTGAAGTTACACATCTGAAGTGTGTGCTATCCTCTCTGTGACTGTGTCCACGTAGGTTTGAAGGGGAGGCCATGTATCTCTTCATTTCTCATCTTTCACGTGTTCTCAGCTGCCCTGTGGCATTCCTTGACATAAAGCCTTCCTGGGCAGCTGAGAGGACTCAGTGGGTAAACTCACCTACTGCCAAGCCTGATTACCTGAGTTTTGTCTTCGCAACACTCATGGTGAAAAGAGAGAATGGACTCCTGAAAGTTGTTCTCTGACCTGTACATTCCCCCTCTCCAATAAATAAACGTGAAAAAGAAAATCCTGATCCTTAATATTCTTTTCTGACTCAAGCCAAGTTCACCCTGCCTGCGACTGCTCATGGAAACCCTGCTACAACTTCTCCAAGAACCCCAACCACCGAGGGAGATGGCTCCAGATGGAGACATGAGCACAGGGGTATGTGTTTAGCTCGTATATCAGTTCACAGAGTTTTGAACATGATAAATAGCTAAGAAAATCACTTTTTACACTTGAGATATTATTTGAAGTGAGTAAAGTGGTGGCCACACATATTGACCCCTGGTAGGATTCTGGATAAGTCACAAACTAGCCAAGTGACCTAGGCCAAGGCCTTTCAATTCCCTGGGGCTCTGCTTCCTCTTCTATCCAAGGGGTGTGGCACAGAGGCCTCTGGATTTCCTGTCTCAGGAAAATGACACCCCTCCCCCCCATGGAGAAATTATTTTGGATATCCACAGATTTTGCTATACAAAGAAAGAGAAATGGGCACTAATGCCATCATTTCATATAGAAAGATAGTCATTTGGGGCTGGAGAGATGGTTCAGCTATTACAGGCTCACAGCCAACAAAGGCTTCATCTTACTTAAACAGTTTTAATTTTATTACATTTTAATAAATTAATGTGTGTGTGTGTGTGTGTGTGTGTGTGTGTGTGTGTGTGTGTGTGTGGTCATGTGCCATGGATGGCATGTGGAGGTAAGAGAGAAACTTGGAGGCACCTGCTCTCTCCTTGCAATGTATGAGACGAGGGGATTCGAGTCTGGTCTCAAGGAAGTGCCATTATATGTGGGGTCATTTTGCTGACCCTTACTTAAAATTTAATTAAAAAAAATTTTTAATTAGAAATGACTCTATTTTAGTTAAATATTAAGCAAACTTAGTGCAATGGGTTATTGTCTTCATTGTTTTCTGATTTACTCTTGGCTGACACTATTACTTTTATTCAGGGCTAAGGGACTGATTAGGTGAAATCAGGGCCCTTTCTAGCTGAATGCAGACCATCAGCTTTCTCAGATTTCAGCCACATAAGGAGGAGCTAAATTCTTTCTAGGGTCAAGGTTGAAAGCTGTCCCAGAAGACAAACAGGACAGAAGAAGCTGACCTCAGGACACATTGATCAGGGAGGTTAATCTCATCTTACTTCTGGGTAGAGTTCTGCTCTTAAACTCTATTTTCTGTAACAGGAGAGAAAAATAGGTAAAGTCCCATTCATCGTGTCATACATCTCACAAGCTACAACTTCAAGGATTTCAATAAGAAAATGGGTCCAGAATGGTTAGTCCAGTGTCTGGTCACAGTGTGTTCTCAGTGTACATTAGCACCTGTCACCAACACTGTCAATAAGGCCATAAGGCAGAATGAGAAAATGGTTCGGTCCTGCAGCGAGAGTAAACTGAGTCCTAAATCCAGCTCTTCTGGCCAGTTCTGAACTCAGTAGTGTTACCACAGTCCTCTGAAGTTTAGGTTTCATGTGTCACGGGCAGCGTTCTCTAAAATCCTGTTTCTGGGTTGGGGTGTTTGTGCTGTAGGGAAGCCCCTTCCCACCAAAGCTGTCAACCTGAGTGGGATCCCAGGTCCGTAAATGGTGGAGAAGGAACTCCCACAGATTGTCCTCTGACCTCCATATGTACACCATAGCGTGCCTGTGGGCACACACACACACACACACACACACACACACACACACTTGCACACACACATGCACATTAAAATAAAATAAAATAAAACTCTGTTTCTTCACCTGAAAATGGCAAAATAGTGATATATATATATATATATATTAATATAATATATATATTATTAAGATTGGGGTTAAGCATGATGGCACATGCCTTTAATTCCATCACTTGGGAGGCAGAGGCAGAACAATCTTCGTGAATTCCATGCCAACTTGATCTACATAGCAAGTTCCAGGACAGCCAGGGCTGTATAGAGAGGGACCTGCCAAAAAACAAAACAAAACAAAAACCCACCCCCCCACCACACCCCCCAAAAAACAACAAATCAAACCAAGAAATGATAAAAAGATTCATAGTGCTCAGACCCATCTCTGGTACATCCGTGCCAAGTAGACAGTAACTGTGGCATCTATATACACTCATGACCATGTTGTCCCTCTTTCTTGATGACTAAGTTCTAGTGCAATCTTTGGTTCCCCAAGAAAAGCAGAAAACAACTTTACAGACATCTCTTGTTCTTGTTTACAGCAAAACAAAATGGGAAAAAAGTAAAGAGGTCAGAGCTGGAGTTATAGCTTAAGTGGCAGTCTGTCTAGCCATGGAAGCCCTGAATTTTATCCAAAATGCCACATAAATCAAGTATGATGGCACAGGCCTACAATTCCAGCATTCAGGAGGAAGAGGTAGGAGGATCAGAAGTTCAAGGTCATCCTGGCTATATAGGTCGGGTTTCAGGGCAACTTGGAATACTTGAGACACAATCTCAAAAGGGAAGAGAGAGAGAGAGAGAGAGACAGAGAGAGAGAGAGAGAGAGAGAGAGACAGAGAGACAGAGAGACAGAGAGAGACAGAGACAGAGAGACAGAGAGAGAGACAGAGAGAGACAGACAGATATAGAGAGACAGACAGACAGACAGAGACACACACACACACACAGAGGTGGGGAAGCAGAAGTGAGGTTTCCATCTCAAGTATTGCATGTGGTGAGGATTCCTGTTTACTTCGAAGTTCCGCCCTGTGGTTTTCAGGCTTTAAATTGCTTCCAGGTGATGAAAACAAACTGGAGTTGCTTTTTTTCCCCAAAATAATTTTAAGCCAAGACTGTCTTTGCAATATTTAAGCCATAGTCAGTCAGGCTCAGATTTGCTGAAAGCCTTTCTGCATCTTGAAGAGTTTCGATTTTGAGGGTTCAGGAATGTGACTGTGACTTTTCACAATCTGACTCAGGCAGCCGAATGAGTGGGTTTCCTTAGTTTTCAGGAAGCTGACAACTATTTGTCCTCACAATGAGTGTCCACAGGCTCTCTTCCTGCTCCTGTCTTGCTTGTGGTCCTGTCCCCTCTACCTGGTGTCAGTTAGTACAGCCATCAGCCAGATGAGCAGATGAAGAAGTAAATGTGCTCAAAGGAGAGAAGGTGGCCGGCAGATGAGCTATGTGACTTTCTTCATGTTGGGGACATTGCTGCGTAAAGTTGTGGGGGAACTTGAAGTTATGAAAGCGTCTTTAAAGCCGTGTGAGCTTAAATGAAAAGACATGCTCACTCATGAAGCAGGGTGTAACTCTCATTCTCTGTTTCTTCCGTTATCCAAAACGACTAACAGTGTCTTCTCTTTAGAACGTTTGTTTTACTTTCATTTTTTAAATTTAATTTTAAGTTTTGATTGGCTTCTATTCATTGTATGTAGAGCAGATTTCCTACGGACAGTTTTGCTCAAGGAGGGTTGTCTGTTCTGATAATATTAGTTCACTTCTTTCACAATATAATCTCACCTCTGTTTCATTCCGTATGTATAAGTGATTTTATCCGTCTGTTCTCATTTTTCTGTTCTGAGGACAAAACACTGACTAAAAGCACTTTGGGAGCAGGGGGAAGGATTTATTTCAGTTTGAAGTTCCCAAGGCATAGAGTTCATAATGCTCAGTAGGATCAGTAAATAGAGTGATCACTTTATCTGTACACTAGAGAGAGACAGAGAGAGAGAGAGACAGAGAGACAGAGACAAAGAGTGACATACTCCCTCTAGCAAGGCTTCACCTCCTAAAGGTTCCAATGTTCTCCCCAAAATGTCATGACTGACTGGGGACCAAGTATGGGGGGAAATTTCTTACTCAAACCACAATAGCATTTGTATGCAAACTAGGGCTCCCTAAAAAGAGAAAACACAATAGTTGTTTTTCTGAGTGTGTATGGGGGTTATTTTTACCCATTTTTCGTTGTTTGTTCTTTTGGCATTTAGTTTTTGAAGTTTTCTTTTTTATATGTTCTAGATATTAATCCTCTGTGAATTATGTAGCTGGCAAAGATTTCTCTCTTTCTGTAGGCTGTCTCTTCATTATAGAAGTTTTCTAATTCGGGCAACCTCATCTGTCAGTTCTTGGTTTTATTACTGTGTTTGGGGTCCTTTTGAGAAAAGTTTGTCTATGCTGGTATCAAGAAGTATTTCCCTGTAAGTTTTGAAGATACACTTCTCATATTAAGTTCTTCGACCCATGTTGAATTGATTTCTGTACTGAATGAGAAGTAAATATCTAATTTTGTCTTTTCACAAGTAGATATCCAGTTTTCTCAGCACCATTCATTAAGGAGGCTATCTTCCCCACACTCCCCACCCCCAGTGTGTGTATTGGATGTGTTTGTCAAAAAAGCAGGTGTCTGTAGCTGTCTGGCTTTGTCTGTAGTCTCTCTCCATCCTATTCATTTGAGCTACCTGTCTATTTCATGTTAGTCCAGTGCTGCTTGTCTGGGGCTCTGTCAACAACTTGAGATCAGGATTGCTGTTCTATTAGAGGTCTTCATGAATTTGGGGATTTTTTTTTCCATTTCTGAGAAGAATGGTCATTAAGATTTTGGTGGGGATTGCATATGTACACTGTTTTTGGTAAGATACATGTGTTCGTATTACCCCTGCTGATCTATGAGATTTCTTTCTGCATTCTGGTGTTTGTTTCATTTTTTTTTTTTAAATGTTGATTATAGAGCTCCTTTACTTCCTTGGTAAGGTTTAGCTGTAGGTATTTTATTTTTTCTTAGTTTTTAAAAAAGATTTCTTTATTTATATTTAGTTTATGTGTGTGAGTGCTTTGCTGGCATGTCTGTAAGTGCTTGCGTATCGGGTGTCCCCAGATCTAGACGAGGGCTTCAGATGCTTTGAACTAGAGTTATGGAAAATTGTAAGCCCCCACGTGGGTGCTGGGAACCAAACCTGGGTCCTCTGCAAGAACTGCAAGTGCTCTTAACCACTGAGTAATTTCTCCAGCCCCTGTATTATTATTATTATCATTATTATTATATTATTATTATTCTAAAGACAGTGTCCTACTATGTAGCCCAGGCAGTCGTGGAACTCACAGTATAGACTGGGTTGGCCTTGAACCCACAGAGATCGATCTACCTCTACCTTCCAAATGCTGGGGTTGAAGGTGTGTGTCACCGCACCAAACGGTATTTTTTTTTTTTTTTTTGCAGCTATTGTTAGTGGATTGTTTCCCTGACTTCTTTCTCATCGTGTTTGTTATTGGCATGAGTTTTGTATATTGATTATGTACCTACTGCTTGCTGAAAGCATCAGCTTTAAGAAGTTTCTGCTCCAGTTTTAGTATTTCCTACATACACTATTGTGTCATCTGCAAATAGGAATACTTTGACTCCATTTTCTATTTGAATCACTTTTGTTTCTTTCTCTTTTCTTATTGTCCTAGTTAAGACTTCAAAAATTATATTGAATGAGAATGGAGAAAATAGACACCCTTGTCTAGTTCCTGATTTTAGCTGAAAGTTGTTTGAGTTTCCCCCCATTTATTATAATGTTGGCTACAGGGTTTGTTGCATATAAACTTTATATTGAGGTGTGTTCCTTCTCAAAAAGTTTTCTTCTGAAACAGAGCCACATGTAGCCCAGGCTATTCTCAAGCTTGCTGTGTAGTCAGAGGTGACCTTGAACTCCTGTCTCCTGAGTTCTGGGGTCACAGGCATGGGCCATACCGTTTGATTTATGCAGTGCTGGTGATCAGACATGGGGTTTCTGTAAATGCTAGGCAGGTACTCCTATGAGCTGAGCAGCTCCTTCTACGGCCCCTAGGTCGAGGCGTGTTCCTTCTATTCCTAGTTTCTTCTCAACTTCTTTTCTCATAAAGGCATGTTAAACATTGTCACAGGCCCTGCCTGCGTTTACTAAAATGACCGCCTGATTTTGGTCCTTGAAACTTTGTATGTACCGTCACATTTTTGCACAGCTCCAGGGACTTGACCTTCCTGAAGCGGAGAGGAAGTGAAGAAATGACAAACATAGACACACAAAAGCTGGGATTGGGCGGACTGCGTTCTTGGATGGAGGAGTCTCGGCACCTGGGAAGCTCAGCATGTTTGTTACTGCGCGTTGAGCAGGGAGGTGGGGTTACAAGTTTAGCTAGTCTCGGTAGGGACAAGCTCTGGAGGGGAGCACTCTTCAGGCTTCAGGCAGGGAGAAAGCTCTGGTGGACATTTTCTGAACACACTATCAGTGTTCATACTGGAGTCCCTGAGGTAGACTTTGCCATCCCCAGTCTCTCCCAGGGAAGACTTTGTCACTCCGATGGGACTGAGGTATTGGAGCCCTTGACATGACTGGAGCCATGTTAACACGCATTCACTCAGGGCTTCCTCCATTGTCCACAATGTACTTATACTCAATCTTAGCCAAAAGTCCAGAGAGGGTCGGGCGGTGGTGGCACATGTCTTTAATCCCAGCACTCGGGAGGCAGAGGCAGGTGGATCTCTGTGAGTTCGAGGCCAGCCTGGTCTCCAAAGTGAGTTCCAGGAAAGGCGCAAGCTACACAGAGAAGCCCTGTCTCAAAAAAAACCAAACCAAACAAACAAACAAACAAAAAAGTCCAGAGAAGCCATTTAAGATATTTCTGTGACTTACTACAATTATTGATTTGCATATGCTGAACCATCTCTGCTTCTGTCAATGAAGACATTTTGATCACAATGCAAGATCTTTTTTATAATTATTGAATTTGGTTTTCTAGTTGTTTATTATTGTTGTTTTTGAGACAAGGTTTCTGTGTTGCCATGGCTGGCTAGCCTGGAAGGTTTGCAGATATTTTACTGATAATTATTTTTGTACTAATTTTCATAGGAAGATTGGCCTTTTGCTGTTATGTCCTTTTCTGGTTTTGTTATCAGACTAACCAACATTGGATCTATGCAATGAGCTTGAAAGCACTCCTTCCATTTTTATTTATTTATTTGGTTTTTCAGGACAGGGTTTCTCTGTGTCATTTTGGTGCCTGGTGGTAGTTGTTTTTTTATTTTTTTATTTTTTAAGGCCTGGTGGAATTTAGCTGTGAAAACATCTGGGCTCTAACTAGTTGTAGTTGTAAGACTTTTAAAAAAATGTTGCTTCAATTTCATTGTTTGTTATAAATCTGAGGCTGTTTTGATTTTCTCAGTTTAATTTGGGTAGCTTATATGTGTTTAGAAACCATTCTTTTAGATGTTCAGTTTAGTGGAATAGATGTCTAAGTAGGTCATATTGATTTTCTAAATGCCATTTTTAGCTGTTGAAATGTTTCCCTTTTCATCTCTAATGTTAAGTATTTGGGTCTTTTTTCTCTCTTTTGGTGAATTTGGCCAAGAGTTTACTGACTTTGTTCATCTATCTATTGATTCTTTGTCCTAGACCTTTTGATTCTATCTCATTAATTTCTACCCTAATGTCCTTTGGTTCTATATGCTATTTTAGGGTTTAATTGTTCTTGTTTTTATAAGACCTTGAGGCACATTATTAAGTTATTACCTGAGGTTTCTCTGATTTTTTAAATGTAAGTCTTTTATAGCTAAAGCTTCCCTCTTAGAACTGCTTTCATTATATTCTGCAGGTAACACTATATTACATTTGCATTCAATTCGAGGGATTTGTTAACTTTCCTCCCAGTTTCAATAACCCATTCATCACTCAGACCTGATGAATTCAGCACTCAGTCACTCATTTTCCCCGAGTTTGTGTTTTTTAGGACAGTTCTTTTCTGTACTGAATGAGATAGTTCATTCAAAGTGACAACATGCTTGAGTTCTGATAAACTGTAGCAATTGTTTCCATTTGAGAACAACTAAATATCCTGGCAATGAATAAATGTTAAACTTTTTCAGGAGTTTTGTGTTTTTGAAAGTCTGATTAAGATATGACTGAACATTGTCAGTGTTGCTGAATTGCTGAATCACACTCCTTAGACCTCTGGACAAAACCAAGGACACATTCAGTATAAGTCTTCCAGACCTGAGTCTCCATTTCTTACAACATTGGTAATGAATGAAAAAAGAAATGAAAGGAGAACATGACTGCTCCTAGGTATGGTGGAGGAGAAGGTTCATTGTAGATGTAGATATGAGGGCGAGTATAGCCAGAAGCAGAGATGTCTGGAAGAATTCAGAGTGAACATGACCCTGAGCAGGGCCATGTGGGAGACGGGGAGAGGGAGAAGGGAAAAGCCAGGAGACCAGGAAACCAAGAGGTCAGCAGGGTAAAGGGTTAAGAAAAAAATGGCATAGCCAAAATGGCTGGATTATATAGGGAAGGGCAGCCCAGCTCCTGGGCTAGAGAGCTCAGGGTAGGGGGTGGGGTATGCCTGCCTTACCTTGTAACTGAGGGACTGAGGGAGGGTGGGAGAACCTGGCAGCCAGGCCCACTTTGGTATGTTAAATAGGCACCTCAGCCATTTGTCCTGAACTGAAGACCTAACAGACAGTGGAGTTTATTAACTATGTGAAAGGACATCCCCCTGAGATTGGTTTGTATGCACTCAGTGTCTTTTGTTGGTCTTCTAATTATTGTGGAGCATATGGAGATGAATTAGTAGTAAGCAGGATTACTAGTGTGTTTGATGTTTTTCTTTGATTTGGAGTTAAAAATATTCTTAACTATTGTCTACTTCCTCCCTTTTGTATGTTGTGTGTGACAGAGACACAGACTCTAGGGACCCTCCATGATGAAACTCCAACAGTAAGTAACTCTGATGTGCACGCTACCATTGTGCTTGGCGTAGACTTCCTCCATGACACCTCTTTTTATGAGAAAGCTTTACCCTCCTTGGTTTCACACGCTGGTTTTCATGTGTTGACAATGGCAGGTCTGACCATATAGGCCTGTTACTGATGGAAGTAGGGTATGAGTGTGAGATTTCTGGCATATGCTAAGTGTGGAAAACCACCAAGAAGTGAGCATTCATCTCTCTTTGCAAATGCTACTACTATGTGTCACTGTGGAAGGTTCCGTGACTCTCTTTTCAGGTTTTCCACTTCAATTTTGTTGTGGTTTTGAGACAAGGTGTCATGTAGCACAGGTTGGTCTTAAACTTACTATGTAGCTAAGGATAGTCTTGAACTCCCAATCTTCTAACTCCTCCTCCACAGTGCTGGGATGCCCAGTTTATAGTTTGTAGTTTTTCTTTCTTTCCTTTCTTTCTTTCTTTCTTTCTTTCTTTCTTTCTTTCTTTCTTTCTTTCTTTCTTTCTTTCTTTCTCTCTCTCTCTCTCTCTCTCTCTCTCTCTCTCTCTCTCTCTCTCTCTCTCTCTCTTTTTTTTTTTTTTTTTTTTTTTTTTCTCTCTCTCTCTCTCTCTCTCTCTCTCTCTCTCTCTCTCTCTCTTTCTTGCTTTTTCTTTTTCTTTTTCTTTTTTTTTAGATAGGGTTTCCCTGTGTAGCTTTGGAGCCTATCCTAGAACTCACCCTGGAGCCCAGGCTGGCCTGGAACTCACAGAGATTCGCCTGCCTCTCTCTCCTGAGTACTGGGGATAAAGGTGTGTGCCACCACCACCTGGCTTTATATTTTGTAGTTTTTTAAATTCATTTTTATGTAACAAGATACTACTCAGGAATACCCAGAGGCAAGAATTTGCATTCTGAACTATTATGTACTGAATTAGACAGGAAAAAAAAAACACACTAAAAAGCCAACCAGCAGTAGTAAGTTCAATGACTGGACATTGAGATTTCTCAGTGGGTAAAGGCACTTGCCACACAGCCCGACTACCTGAGTGTGACTCTTAGAACTCCTGGAAGAAAGAGAAGAACCCATTTCTGACCGTTGTCCTCTGGTCACCATCGTTGTGCCGTGTACCATGGTATGGATGTACACGTACACACGTGCACGCTCATACCAATAATAGACAAGAATAATAAAAACAGCTCTATAGGACTGTGTCTAGAGGCCCACATTCATTTAATTCAATTCTTATTTGTGTGCTCACAGTCAGTGCCTGGCATCTTGTGAGCTTGTCTCTTCCCTCTTGAGACAGAGAGCACATCTAAGAACTTCTGTTGCCCACAAGTGCTTAACACATGTGCTTTGTACACAGGAATCCTGCTTTCACAGTCTAATGTGTAGTGATTAAATGGAGATTTCACCTCTGAGATTTATTGCTTTCATTGTTTATGGTTGTATTGTTTTTAAATGTAGTTTTTGTTTATTCTTAGATTATTTTGTACATGAATACAGTGTGTTTCAATAATAGTCACTTCATCCCCCTCCAACTCCTTCTAGATCCCTCTCTTGTCTCCTCCCAGGTTCATGTCTCTTCTTGTTCATAACATACTGAGTCTAATTAGTGCTTCCCATACATGCATGAGTATTTTTTTTTGAAATAGGGTCTTAATATGTAGCCCAGGCTGATCTCAAATTTCCTACTTTCCAGCCTCAGCCTCCTGAGTGCTGGGATTATGGATGTTCACCACCATGACTGGTGTCTTTACTATTATTGTCTTAGAAGGTGGAATGTGGACTTATATTTTAGAAATAGAAGAATGTTCTAGGTGACTCCCTGGTATGAGAAATGAGAGAAACAGTAGTAGTATTTACCACTGACTGAGTGTTCATTAAGAAACAGGCTTTGTACTAATTTTCTCAATAACTCCACAGGGTCACTGAGCTCTTGGGGATATGAGACTTGAACCCAGGACTGTGTGGTTACAAAGTCCTGGCTTTCAACACTGCTTTTCTGTGTGAAGGGAGGTTTCCCTGAAAGACTTCAAATGTGGACCACTCTGAAACTCCCTTCCCCTGGACACACAATTTTGAAGCAGTAGAATTCCACTCTAAAGTCTCTGTAGGGATGGGGGCAGGTAGGATAAAGAGTGACTTCTACACCCACAGCACTGGAGGGAGTGTTTTATTTCCTTGTTAACTACACATATTAAGCTAACACATTTAATTCCTTTGGTGGCTGGGGCTACTCTAGAAGAAGACAGATCAAGGGGGGCAGCTTCATCATTCCTGCAATCCTGAGAGACCCTAAAATAGAGTGGTCTTCCTCCTGAATCATGAGACTTGCTGAGCATATGACCAAATACTGGACATCTCAAGCTTGACTCCTGTTTTCTTTCCCCCAGCAAATTTCCACATGGTCTGATGAAATGAAGGATTCTGGAGAAACCATCAGAACCGCTGTCTACATCGGAGTAGGAGTCTCTGCGGGGCTGGCCCTGGCACTTATCTTTGGTGTTTTAATTCTTAAATGTAAGTTGCTGGGTGTTGCTTCTTTTTCTTTCTGATAAAGAACAGTTACTATAGGAACAAGTACAAACCTAGATAGAAATACAACTTTTTAAGTAAACCTGATGGTGGATAGACTAGATACTCATTTGTCCTTTCAAACGTTGCCCATTCTGAAAGCTGGAAACCATTCAAGGTTTCTATGTGTCAGGTGGATACTATGCTAAATGTTTTTACAGACATCTTAGTCATCATCAGTTATAAACTAGGTAGTACCAATTCATCCCAGTCCAGGGCAGAGGAAAGTAAAGCTTTGCTGAGAGCAGCTGAGTTCTCCAAGTTTCACTGTAAGCAAGGTACAAGGCTAGACCTTCAAGTGCAGCAGACAACCAGAATTGGCTATCTTTGGATACAAAAACTAATCTTGGGGCTGATGGGATGGCTTAGTAGGTTAAGGTGCCTGTCATGTGCCTGATGCCCTGAGTTCTATCCCAGGGACCCACATGGTGGGAGATTTCTTCCCTCAATCTGGCCTCCACATGTGAGCTGAAGCCTTTAGGTACCTCCCCTCTTTTTCCCTCCCCTCATCTCTTCTCATCTCTGCTGTTCTCCCCTCTCTGTCTCTCTCTCTAATCAACTGCAAGAGCTACTCTATTTAAATTATAAATATGCCCATGCTTATTAGGAAACCCAACAACACAACCTCTCTCTGTGTGGGTTTCTATGTTGCTTTCTCAGGCACCTCTCTTTAATACTGAACGATGCCTGGAATTCCAGAACTGGGTTTTTCTCCTCACAGTGATCAGCACACGTAGCTATTTGTCTTTATTTAAATAGACAACTTGTGGTCTGGGCATGTGGTATAGGTGTTAAAGTACTTTTGTAGCATACAGGAAACCATGAGCCCCATAAAAGTAGGTGTGGTGGCATACTGTACGTTTTATAATCTCAGAACTCTTTGGAGGTAGAAGCAGGAGGATCAGAAGTTCAAGGTCATCCTCAGCTACACAGTGAGTTCCAGGCCAGGGTGGGCTGTCTCAGGGAAAAGAAGTTTTTCAGTTTGGTTATTGTACTTGGAGACCATTGCCACATTAAAGATCCAAATGTTCTCATCAGCCCAAAGCCTTCCACCCTTTCAAAGTTGTGATGTATTCTCTTTTCTCTGAGAGCAGAGAAGAAGGCATTGCACCAGAGTGTAATGCACTATAACAGCCTTTCTCCTTAACACACAACAGGCACTGTCTATGTAGGGTCATCGGCCATCTAGGATTTTCACAAGAATGAAGGGAGTTCCTAAAATATGGAACTTCCATTGGTAAAGCTGGGACCATCTGAGAAAAACCAGGATGACTGTGAACTGAAGTTGCCAAGGGCTTTATGGAGGTCAGGCCCCATAACTATGATATACAATATAAAATGTACTAGATACAATTGGTACCTGGCTGGGCAACCAGTATGCTGACATGTTAAGCAATATGTCCAAATTCATACAGTTAATTGATGGATATAGCATTTGAAATTAACCTTACTTCTTCTGGTTGTTTTCTCTCACTTTTTGGTAAATGGGTTTTGCCAAGAAAGAAACAACCCCATATACACTCACACGAGCTTGTCCAGAGACTGCAGTAAACATTGGGGACTGATCACCTGAACATGAAATCTAGAAGCCATTAAATGATGATGGTAGAAATGATAACATGTACTACTTTTTGAGTTCTTCCAATACCTAGAAATTAGGCACTTTTATAATTTGTGTAAAAGGTAAGGAGGTAGGTGGATATTCCTCTCTTAGGATCCCACCCCATGTTGGGAGTTATTTCTCTCTTTTGCTTAATAAATCTATGCCCATTCTTGTCTTTAAAAGAGGCATAGGTGCAATCTAATCCACATATAACTGCTAACTTTGAATGCACACAGGTACCACATCTGTGGATTCAACCATATAGTGAACAATAAAATTGAAAATTATTTATACTCAACATATATAGACTTCTTAATTCCCCCAAAGAAGGCAGCAGCTATATTACTATAGCATTTATATCATGCAGGATGTTATAAGACACCTAGAGATCATTTAAAGTGTGTGGTAGGAAATGACAGGTATTAATGGTGTTTTATAAAAGGAACTTGAGCACACTTAGATTTTGGTGTTTGTAGAAGTTCCTTGACCAACCACAGTGGATTTAGAAGGACAAGAGTTAACACAGAGAATTGTTTTAAGGAATGAATCAAAATGTTCTGTGCAGTGTATAATTTTTTCCCTATGTTTTGTGGGTAGCAATCTGACAGATGAGGTGGCCTGTTCTTAAGTCACGACATTATAGCCACAAGCTGTCTGGGAAGTGCCTGTCAGTCTTCTGCCATTCGAGTGGACTGTCTACTGACTTAGATGGCCACCCATGCTTCACTACTGCTTAACCTCCTTCAATCCTCTCCCAGCCAAGGAAAAATGAAAGGTCTGTTTGCTGTGCCAAGTCTCCATCCCTTCATTTATGTTTTTCTTCTGAACTGCCAATCTCACGTCTGTCCTTAAAGTACCACAGATACAATTTTAGTCAGTTTCAAATTGCTTCCATTTTACTAATGGTCACGTGTAGCATTGTCTTTATTGTGGCTAGTCTTTCTGCAATAATGTCCCAAGTAGACTCCATACTTTGTTCTAAAGTGTCTTCTCTTAGCTTTGGAAACATCATTCATTGTATTTGATTGGTCAGTCCTCCCGTTATTTAGACATTTCCTCTTCTGCCTGGTGTTCAGCAGCTGAAGTTCCTCAGGATTTGGCCTTTTTCTCTTTGCAAACCTTCACCTTTATAACATATATTTTGTGGACTTACACATTCTCTTTAATCTTTTCAACTCTTAAAATGTTGATGCAGCTTGTCTCTCTGTCTAGTTGATAGCTTCACTTTGAAGTTCATATATTCATATGTGAGAAACAAGGCTCCTGCTTCCATATCCACCCACAGGACCCAACTGTCAGGTCCTGGACATCTCCATCATTTCACTGTCTGTCTATGTGGTTGCTTCTGCCAGAAATGTAGAAGTCATCCCAGAATCCTCTCTTTTCAACATCTTAATATGTAATCAACTCCAGTTGAAATCTCTGCACAAAATATATCTAAGATTGCTTCATTATTCTGGATCTTACTTGGTGATTTGTTTTTTTATTTCTCCTTCTAATCAGTTCTCTACACAGTATCCAGGTCAGATCATACTGTCATTCAGTGACATCCTACAGGTCTTCCTGTCTCATACCACCCAAATTCTTTTTGTTGTTGTTTAGTTGGTTAGTTTTGTTGATGCAGCTCTCATGTCTTGCTGGCTTGCCTTGAACTCTTGATCCTCCTACCGCCACATCCCGAGGGCTGGGATTACAGGATAACTGAAAAGGTCTTTGGGACCCAGCCTCAGTCTATCTCTCAGATTTGATTGGGGGGTACTCTCTTGTTCTAGTCTTGGTTTTGGTTTTGACACCAACTCAGATCTTTGCCAAGGACTCTCTGTTCCTGTAATATTTCCCCTAGTTCTTGACACAGGTGACTCATTCTTTTCGTTAGAACAGACCTCAAAAGTCATGTCCTAACATCCTCCCCTAACCATTTCTAGTTTGGGTTTAATATGGTGCTGGTTTCATTTTATAATTCAGTGCAATTTGAAATTATTTTTTCTGTCCTTCCTTTCCTCCTTCCCTTCCTCCACCCTTCCTTCCCTCCTTCCTTTTTTCCTCACTAGGATGCACGCTTCATGGTGCCTACCAAACCGCAGCATACACAGGACAATCCTCATAATGTTTGCTAAATAAGAGCTCCACATGCTACTTCTAACACAATCCTAAGACATCACTGGGAGGTTGATTTCATTTGTTCTAAGGCAAGACCAAATTTCACCATGCCACTCTCATCTCCAATCAGTTCACTTTATTTCTTGCTTCAAATTATCTTAGAAAAACATTAATTGGTTTTTCTTCCACCTTTATCTAGGGTATTCTTATAAGAAAAAGAAGTTACAGACTTCAAGGTAAGGACACTGGAAGAAGGAAAAGGGTATTGGGCACCTCTACTATCATATGATTTTATTCTTCCTCGGAAAAGTTCTTACTTGGAGCTTTGAAATCTTAGGTTGGTCTTCTTTTGTTTAGGAAATGAAAATCCAACAGTTGTCCTCCCGTATATTGAGCCTCCTCAGGCCTAAAGCTGAGGTTTATAGTCTGCCTCCTTATTACTAACAAATACTTATTTATCTCTAATATTCAGGGAACTCAACCTTTAACTGAATGAGTGTTTACTATTTTCATGATATTACTAAAATGAGAAAAAATGAGAAAGAGAGAGAAAACAAAAACAAAACAAAGCAAAAAACTCCCAAGCCACTCTGGTCAGAGTGTTTATAGCCCTCCTTAGGCATTTACTACTGTGGCAGTGTGTTATGTTGACCTGGGCACTCTTCTTGCTGGTACAGGACATACCTAAAGCAAATGAATCAGGATCTTGGGGACAGAGCTTGAGGTAATTGTTCTCAAAGCTCTTCAGGTGATCCTCGTCACTACTCCACTTCTGACTGTACACACACACACACACACACACACACACACACACACACACACACACCTCTCTCCAAGATTTTATTGCAGTAAAAGTCAATACATAAAAAAATTGCAATGTATTTCAAGGGAAAATATGATTATGTGCTGAATATAAGAGTCATCTCTTATTTCAGAAGCAATAAAATCCAGAATATTCCAAAGACAAAGTAATATAAAGTGAAAAATCATGTAACTCCAAATATAGTACTTAATTATCAGTACCATTATTCTTCATTAGAAGTGAAACTGGACACATGGTATTCATAGGTAATACTGACAGGCATCAACTTACTACCTGTGAAATTATGTGCTCAATATTTAGCTCTTCCTATAACTATAAACCTATAGTGAACTGAGAACTAGAATGCTGTGTTTGACTACTGTAACTCCAGCCCAGTGTGTGATGAATGCCAATGATCATCTCCAATGAATGAATGATCCAGGGTTCCTCATAGCAGCCTTACTATAGGGCTATCACTATTCCCATTTCTAGAGTTGAGAAAACTGAGGCACAAGGTTTACTAATGTATGACATCTGTGGATGTACATATTTTGTTCACTGTTGTAGTCTACAGATTCACAGGATAATGTGTAACTGTCTTGAATTAAAAATTATATATATATATATATATATATATATATATATATATATATGAAAATAGATGAAAGATTATTTGGGAAGAGGAGGAGGGGCTCAAGAGACGAAGATGAGTTGTGTGAATACAGGCAGAGTATAGAATATATAGTTATGAAAAGGTTGTCATGAAACCCATATTTTATAAGATAGTACTAAAAAACATTTAAAACCCCAACCAAATGAGCAACCAACCAACCAACCACAAACAAACAAACTAAACAAGTTCACCCTAGTCATGATGTTGGGAAGAAACACAGAGTTCCAACTCAAGTCTGGTTGTGTCTGTAACACATTCACGCTTTTCCTTTTCAAACTGTTGGAGCTCACAGAGGGTTGAACCAACAGTAGAGGGGACATTAAAACACTTGGCCTTCAACTCCTATTTGACACTTGGAACAGCTGCTCTGTCTAGTTCTCAGTAACACAGGGCTTCCTCTTAACCGCTTGTAAGTAGGTTGCAGGCATCTTGACAAATCTGAGATTTCAGTCTACAACTCCTAAGAATAGGGGATATGGCTTAAATACCTAGGAAAATTAAGAGTAATTACATGTCCTTAATTGTGCCCCAAATTACCACCTGGGTTTCTTTCAGTGAGCATCCAGGGAAGGGTTATGAGTGTCAGCTGGCTACTGTCATCAGTGAAGACTGCTCTTTTAATTCTATTCTCTGTGGTCTGGGGAATTCTCCTATCAACTCCAGTATTATATTTTCACAGCCTCATCACACTGGCCAACCTCCCTCCCGTGGGGTTAGTGAATGCAGGAGCAGGCAGAAATCGATCAGAGGAAAATGTCTATACCATCGAGGAGAACATATATGAAATGGAGAATTCCAATGAGTACTACTGCTACATCAGTGGTGGGCAGCCGTCCTGACCATGTCTGGGCTGTCACTTCTTAAGGCTCTCCTTCATTTTTGACTTTGGTATCTTCCTTTTTGAAAACTATCAGATATGTCACCTGAAAAGTTTTGGAGGTTCTGTCCACGGCCACCGAGAAAAGTGTTCCTGTTTTCTAGGGATAATTAGCTCACAAGGGGATTCAACGATAACCTATGCTATGTTGAAATGTACCATAACCTCTGAGTTCCAGGGAAAGAATCTCCCAACCCAGAGACATGGATGTTGAAGCTCACATGTGCCTTGATACATTAGGCATGCTTAGTCTGAGATCTCTGGAGCACCATGACATTCAGGATTGTGGTGTGTCCACAAAGCTCCTAAATAGATAGGGGGAGTATTAGGCTAAGATAGATAGGTGCAGGTCTTTGTTGATGCAGGAAATCTAAACTGGCCACTGGTTTTTCTAGAGATTTCTGACCTTGAAAGATTAAGAAAGAGTTAGATGGCACATGCCTATAATTATATAACTTGGGAGACTGATGAAGGAAGATCGTGAGTTCAAGGCCACCCTGGGCTATGATGATGAGAGTTGGTCTTAAAAACAAAAGAGGAGCCGGGCAGTGGTGGCGCATGCCTTTAATCCCAGCACTTGGGAGGCAGAGGCAGGTGGATCTTTGTGAGTTAGAGGCTAGCCTG